TACGTTGTACAAAGTATATTTAATATCATTAGAGATTTACAAATACTTTATTTAATGGGATGGTCAGTGGTCACTGTGGGCGATTTTCATTTTTTACTAGGCAGCATGTATATATGAACCTAATAATATAAAAAATTATTAGTTTTTACTAAAGGCAGTTGCCCCTATTTTAATTAAGGTGGATCTGTCCATGATAAGAGTAGAACAGAGTACATAAATTTTTTTACGAAGTTTGGGCGAGAATAAGTTTCAGTGTCATTCGATGACACCGACTCTAATTAGGATACCTACAATATTTCGTTACAATATAAATGATTCCTACTCTTTAACTTTCTAAACTCTCACCCAAACATGGAAAGGAGGTGGCAAAAGTGGGACTTTTGTGGAGGTTCAGAGAACAAAATAGTGTAGATGTTCCAATCCAAAAGTAATGACACCCTATTATTAGAGCAGCGTTCGTGGCTAGACAAGTGTCTGTCACACTGCCACATCATCTAATACTGTCGCATGCCTAGGCTGTTTTGCCATGCTTGGCATGACAATCGCGTGGTGAGGCACCTTCGTTTCTTTTTTTTTATTAGAAAAAAAAAGATTTTTTTTAAAAATGAATACCTTTATTTTGAGTAAATTTCATAATTGGTCCTTTATAATAGGGGGTTTTCCATATTTAGTTCTCTATTATCAAATATTACCCCCGTAGTCCTTTTTAAAATGGTATCTTTCCATAAATGGTCCTTTTTTTGATCTTCTGTTGTGTTGGTGTTAATTTAAAAGCTAAAAGTATAATTTGACATCAACATTATGTTTAGTGACGTGTTCTGATATTGGTTAAGCGGATAACACAAAAATAATGACTATGATTGTGGCTAGGGTTCTGACGAAAGACCACATTTGTAGACTATGGTTGTAGTAGAAAGCGACTGTAATTCACAAATGACGCAAACGGAATAGCCTTTGAAATTGTAGATGACAAAAAAGATATATTATCATTGTGAAATTACACTTTTAGCTCTTAAATTAACACCAACATGATAGAAGATCAAAAAAGGACTATTTGTGGAAAGATACCCATAAACGAAGGACCACTTGGATAATATTTGATAATAGAGGACTAATTAGGGAAACCCACATATTATAAAGGACCAATTATAGAATTTACTCCTTTATTTTTATTAAAAAATATACTCCCTCCGTCCCTAAATATTCATAACATTTGCTTTTTCAGCAGTTGCGGGAACTTTTGTTTATTTCGACGTTTTCATTGGTTATTTGATAAAATAAAATATTCTTGACACCTTTTATTTCGAAGAATTTTTCATGTAGTTTTTTGATATGTAAATTTTATTTTTTATTTTTATACCAATATGTAAATAAAATGAATTGGAAAAACTTGATATTTTGTCTCGGGAATACAAATGTGGCAAATAATTTGGAACCGAGGGAGTAAGTAAAAGATTTTTTTAATAATTAAGATACATTGGAAAAGTTTAAAAACTGAAAAAAGTAATGATCTTTTATTGATTAAAATATTTCACTCATTGTGTTGCACTTGTCCATGTTCTTAGTGCAAAGGCAGTGTCACTCGAAGAGGGACCCAAAAACTTTAGGAATTCCAATACAACCTGTAATAACTCGGCGCACCAGTGAGAACTCAACGAGGAAGATGCTATATGGATTTGGCTTCTGCTCTATCTCTGAACCCGACCCAGATCTACCATTCTGCTCCTCCACTTCACCCCCGCCCCAAGTTTCCACCTTCGCCCGTTTCCCGATTCAGGTATGGACCCGTTTCCAATCCCCCGTCACAAAAACCGATGATGCCCTTATCTTCTACCCGAACTGTCCGCCACAAGAAGAGGTTCGCCCCTGTAAACGCCTTCCGCGGAGGTGAGTCTCCTTTTGAGGTATTGGGGATCTCCCCTGCCGCAACTCCGTTCGAGATCAAGAGAGCTTATCGGAAGCTCGCTCTTAAATACCATCCCGATGTTAATAAAGCGGTAAATCTTTGTGAATATTTGGATTTGTAATTTGCCTGATGAACTTCTCTGGGTTTTTTTTCTTTTTTTTTTTTAAAACCAAATTTTGTGTTAATTAGCTGGGATTGCCTAGGCCTTGTTCTGCGAATTAGTAAAGATTTAGCTGGATGGGATTTTAATTCTCAGTTTACACCTTCCACAGACCCTAGGATTTTACTGGGGTTTAATCGTAGTTTACATAGAGTAATTTGTGTTGTGGGCACTGGGTAGAATTTATTGATTCAAGAGTGCTTTATAATGTACTCCCTCCATCTCCAAAAGAGAGTTATGGCTTGACTTTATGGAGTTCAAGAAAGTTGTTGAAAAGTGAAAAGCTTGTGGATATGATTTTGTTTAGAAGAAAAAGAAATGTTGCAAGCCACTTAATCATTTCCTTTTGTGGAAAGAGAAGTAGTGAGAAGTTAATTTTGGAAAGGGCTCAAAAGGAAAGTTTGAATGTCTTTTGGGGACGGAAGGAGTAAGAGACTTTAGTTGAAGTGTGATGCAGAACTGCCCGTTTTGTTAGGACAGCCAAATTCCTCTTTGACTCCATGTTATGTTAGTACGATATTGTTGGCTGTAAGGTAATCATGCAAGTTTATGTTTTTGGGTAACCTGTTGTCCTTCCAGCGTGGGGATTTGGTTTGATGCCCCCAACACTCATGTGAATTGATTCTATTACAGAATAGCTAAAAAAATGGTAATCACCATCAGTTTTCAGAACTACTTGATAAAGTAGTGAGTTTCATGACCTTGGAATCACTCCTAAATGTTCTGTCAAACACCCTTAAGTTGTTTTTTTTTTCTTTTCTCATTCTAATTCTGCAATGAAACAGAGAAGTCATTTTTAATGAATATGCTAAGTCATTTTGGACCTTCTTTGTGTTCTACTAATTCTTAAAGCCTTGTGATCCAGCCCAATGCTAAGGAAAAATTTATGAGGATTAAGCATGCTTACACTACTCTGCTGAACTCCAAGTCAAGAAAGAAATATGATTCTGGGAGTGGCACATCCAATGATTCTTATTATGCAACTCGGGAAAGCCAAAGTGGAACAATTACAGAGGAAGAATTCTACGGATTTGGTGAGACGTCCTTTCTTTTATTCCCCTCTTTCCAAACAACAATTTAACCCTTTTTACCTTAGTCTGTAGCTTGTGCATGCGTGTTTCCTGTGCTTTGGATCTAGTTGCTAGTGTTAATATATGTACTTCTTGTCTTTCTTCTCTTACTCTGTTCGTGTTAAAATGTTTACTTTGTCTGTCCTTTTATGTTTGAGAATTCAAAGTTTAGATTATATTTTTACAATGTTTGGCATTATATCAATTTATACATTACTCTGTTGGGAATAGGTCTATTGAAACAAAAGTTCTCTAAAAATTACTGCAATTCTTATATTCAACCACCTTCATCCTGCAGGTAACTTTTTCAGAGATGTACAAATTACATTAGGTAGATTCTGCAGATTACAAGGATTCCTTTTTTTTTCACTAATGTTTTAGGACACTTCTGAGTTGCTATCTTGCCTGTTAAAGTTACATTGTGAGCTGAGGCATACGTACTTATGTTGTTGCAGAGGACTTCTTTAAGGATCTTCAAGAAGAACTCCGAAATTGGGAGGCAAATTTAGCTTCACAAGGGAAACCAAAAAGTTTGTGGGAGGAATTAGAGGTGAGCGAATCAAATGTTTGCACATTATACGTCTTAAAACAAGATAATATCTCAAAATATGACATTTAGGTTCCGTTTGGATGGAGGGTTTTTTTTAGGGGAAGGCTTTTAATGATTTATTAATAGATCTTACTTAAAAATTGGAAAAATTTCGATCAATAGTTCGAAGTTTTGGTTGTTTTACCCTGACAATCCCAACTTGAAAAAAATGCAAGTGATTCCAACTTGAATGTGTTGTTATGAGAGTTTTCCAGTCAAAAGTGTCAGTGTCTCACTCAAATGGTTGGCTTTCCAATTCAAACATCTGATATAGTCGTCTTCCACTGCACTTTTCAATTACTTCTTAAAAATACGGAGTACGAAATAATGAAAAATGAAATTGTCATTGTTATTATTATATATTATTTCCAAACTTTGGATTTTTTGCAGAAATTTTTGCCTGCAAAAGTTTAACATGACACAAGTAGTATGCAATTGTATGGCTTGGCAATAACCTTTTCTTCAAAATTATCATATCTATCGATCTACAAAATGTGTGCTACTGCTTATCAGGAAATAGGTGAAGAATTCATCGAGTTCTTAGAGAAGCAACTGGATGTAACTGATGGCGAGCTTGGAGAAGAAGAAGAAGAAGAAGAAGACCTCAAGGAAAAAGCTCAAAGTAATGGATCTTCTGATGGAGATGGAATGGGAAATGGCACTGAAAATAAAGGAACAAATGAAAACATTGAAGAAAATATTGATGAGATTGAAGCAACTTTAGCTCAGCTGAAAAAGCAGTTGGGACTGTGACCAATTTGTTGTATAATACCTTGTATCATTATTTTAAGCTCTAGTTCCCATTTAAATTTTCCTAGGCTTTTAAGTTTTCCTTCCATTGTACATCCTCTCCCTCATAAGAATTTTGTGTTCCCTTTTACTGAATATAAGAATAGACATTTTTCAGTAACATATTTTATTTCGTAAAAGGATAATGAAGTTTTTTTAGCAAAAAAAATACTCAAAAATGCATTTTAATAGAATTTTGTGTTGGCTTTTACTAAAGTTGAGAAAAATCTTTAAAAGTGATATTTTTGCACAATATATAAAATGTATACATAATACTCCTCCGTCTCAATTTAAGATGTCTGTTTACTATTAATATGATCAAATTTTAACCATATTTTGTCTCTATTTTTGCTACCCATTTGAGATAATAAAATACTACTTATTTTGTAAAACTTTTGATGTAATTTTTAAGTATTTAAATTTATTTTTTTAATTCCATATCAATTTTTAAATAAATTGAATTGAAAATATTTCATTCAAACCTCGTAAACAACAAATGATTTATACTGGGATAACGAGAGTACTTCGTATAACTGAAATTGTTAGATAAAAATATAACTTAAAAATGGTTTACATAATTACATGTATGCAAAAGTGGAAATTGTGCATTTAAAAAAAAGCACCCCTATCTGAAAAACACATTTCATATATCATATTCCCTTTAAAAAAGGTAAGGTTCAATTTCTCACTTCAAGAACCTGGATTCAATCTCTTCCAAGCTCAGCCCTTTCGTCTCCGGGACAGAAGTCGCCACAAACACCAGCGATATCAAAGCGATCAGCCCAAACCCAAGGAAAAGGTTTTCGGCGCCCAATGCTTCCTAAACCAACCCCCATAAAATTTCATCACCATTATCAAATTACCGAGAGAAAAATGTTGGTTTAATATGTACACTCAGAACTTGTTAACTCATTCTTATTACTTATTACTTATTCTTATTGAAACCAGATCAAGATCAGACCAGAACTTATTCCAAACAGATCAAAATCAATCTGGTGAAACTTCTATGTACCTTTAGAGGGGAGAAAGCAAAGGTTACTAAGGCATTGGAGGTAAAGTTGGCAAGGACTGCAAGACTGATCCCCTTTCCTCTGGTGCGCAGTGGGAATATTTCTGATACCATGAGCCAACTGATTGGCCCGAACGATACCTGGTAGCACCCTACATACAGAAGCAGGGCAGCCACCGCAACCAAAGGAAACCCGCCAAGAAACTTGTAGTATGCCGAAAGAAGAAAAAGTGAAAGCGCCTGCTCTCATAAACAACAATTTTAGAAAGAAAAAAGAAAGATTTCGTCATCATTTGAATTAGAAGATTATATATATGTATAGTCTATTTGAACCATACAATGCCACTGACTCCAGCAATTAGGAGAGGCCTTCTCCCAAGGTCATCAACCTTTAGGACAGCTACCCCTGTCATTAAAGACTGCAGCACATCACAAAGTTAGCTTAACCAAGATATTAGTTTATACATCACAACAGTCTTTACACATATGTACCTTGAAAATGCCAATAATGACGGACACTCGCGTAGCGTCAGAAGCAGCTGAAAACCCAGCAGTCTATAGATATAGATAAGGTAAAGGTGGGAAAATAAAAGATATTAATGGTATGCAAAACTGTACAGAAACTATTACATTGATCTGTCTAAAGAGTACCTGAAGAATTGGACCAGCATAGTATAGAACACTTGGCTGCCCAGTTATCTAAGAAAACCAGTTGGTAACATTAGATATGAACTTCAACAGATTGTTTAGTAATGGACAGAGTATGTTTCAGTGACTCAGTACACGATATTGACTTGGGATTCAGTCTAAAAGATCAATCTACTAAGGCCCTGTTCTTTTGGACTTGAATTTTAGAGTTGGATATTGAAAGAAACTGGAAAGAGTTAGAAAAAACTAGAATGAGTTGGAAAATGTGGAAGAACTAAAGTGTTAAATGTGACTCAATTAAATGATCACCCAAATAAGTATGTAAGAAACTCTAATTTTGGATAAAAAAGAATTCATCTTTGTTCGTGTTTGAGGTGATATGTTATACAACAACAACAACCCAGTAGAATCTCACAAAAGCAGGGTCTAGGTGGTATGTTATAAATTTGGATATATAATGTTATTGTATATTCATCATATATAAATACCTTTTTTAAGTGGTTGTTGGAAGAAACTAGAAGGAGTTGGAAAAAACTGGAAGGAGTTAAAAAAAAGTTGGAAGTTAATTTTTCCAGCCCAAAAGAACAGGGCCTAAGAGAAGTAATCCAAGAGCTTATATATTGGTCTGGTTTGACACAAGAACAGTACCTGCTGAAAAAGAACCAATCCACCACCAATTATAAGTGCCTTCAAGCTCGAACCTTGAAACAGTTCCAAGAAACTTATTTCAGTTTCCTCATCAGTATATGCGGTCTTTAGTGAGACGAGAGTGTCTTCTATTTGTTTCTCAGACACCGTATCTCCAGCACGTTGGCGGCCTCTTAGCTTGCTCAAAGCCCCAATGGCCTTTTCTCTGAATTCCTCTAAATGACCTTTACCTTGAACTGCCCTCAGAAGTAACCATCTTGGAGAAGGTGGTAAACTCATCATGCCTATCCCCATAAACAAAGCTATTGGAGCACTAAACCCAAACATGACACGCCACCCTCCAACGGCATTAATCTCGTGGTTGCCCACAAAATAACCCAGCTGCAGAAAAAGGTGGAGATCAGCAAAAACACAAACTGACATCAATCTTTTTAGCGTATATTTCGCATGAGTAACTTTAAAAAAATTACTTATAGAACTTTTTTGTAGCTACGGCTCTCTTTGTCCCATAATTTTGTTCTTTTTTAGGAAAAGATCTGTGATTAGTATTTTTTCTCTCAGTGTACACAAATTAAATCACAATCTCCATTTTATAAAGAAGCAAGCCAAGTCAAACAAAAAATATAATAATGGGAAAGAAAGAGGGAGAAGGTTTTAGCAGCTGGAAAGTTCATAGATGAAAGTTGGCTTGCCAAACACACTAGGGCCTTTTGCACGATTACAAAAAGCGGATTCGTTACAACAACAACAACAACAACAACAACCCAGGTAAATCCCACAAGAGTAGGGTCTGGGGAGGGTGTGTGTACGCAGACCTTGCCCCTACTCGAAAGTAGAGAGGCTGTTTCCAAAGAGACCCCCGGCTCAACGTCGAAAGTTGCATTGTTTGACTAACTGCTACTTCATTAATTAAAGAAGCGCAGCTAGTTTAGAGATCCATTTTGATTTATTCCATCACACCCCAAAGCCAAAAAATGGTGAAATTTTGGCTCCATCGGAGATGATGGAAGGAAGCGGATTCGTTACATTTGAAATAAAATAGATTTTGGGCAATTCCGTAAGGGGAAGAAGAATTGGTGTTTGAGATAAGTTTCGAGCTTCTCAAATAAGTTGTCTTTCCAAACACACAGCTAGGGGACTTAGGTCACTTTTTAAATTATAGAAAAGTTAAAAGCTCCTAACTCCTACATGCCAGAGAAACAGTAAATATGTTTACCAAAATGCCAAGAACTATTGCTAGCTCCTTTAAAGAAATCAAGGTTCCCCTTATTTGAGTTGGACATGTTTCGGCAATATAAAGAGGTGCACCATGCATAGCCTGCCAAATGATTTTTTTTCATGAAATTGAGAATCAGCTAACACAAAGAAATGGGGAAAAATTCCTTGGAACTAAACAAGCCATAAATGTGGGATGGGGAGAAGAGAGAGTTCGACGAAAATTTACCAAACCAATACCAAGCCCATAAATTAGCCTCCCTATTAATAGAATAGTTAGGCCTGAAGCATATGAAGTTAATGAACCACCAAGTGCATAGAGAATGGCTGCTATTATCAATTCCCTTCTTCTGCCTACACACACAATGGATAGTGAAAACAGGGGAGAAGTTATTACAGAAAAATATCAAACTTGGAAAAGCATGACTATGTCATCAGGGGTAGAATTGTACCAAGGAAATCTGCTAGCGGGTAAACAGCGATGGAGCCAAGCAGTGCTCCGTAAAGGGATCCGCTAACCTAAAACCAGAGCGAAGCAAAATAAAAACAAATATTTAGACTCCAATTTGTGGTAGAAAGTTTGGCATAACCTTTTTTAAGAGGAACAATAGGAATTGATACATACCACAAGACCAAGCTGAACTGCAGAAAGATTGAACCAAGTTGTGCCACTAAGCTCTGCTGACTAAAAATAGACATGGGAAAAAAAATAAAAAAACATTGAAATGTTATTTTGAATCCCAAGCTTACGCGAGCATTACCTGCAAGGAGATGGTAGCACCAGAAGTTGCACCTATATCATAGCCAAACAAAAAACCACCCAAAGCTGGAAATAGAAACCTGATATTCAAGAGAATATCTCAGACAATGCCCACTATCTAGCAACAGTTAATCAAATGATACGATTGATATTGAATACTTAGGGCTAACCATTCAGAGACACAAAGATTATTCTCTTACAAGGCCTTCGGAAAGCTTTTAAGAGTAATTGAACTGAACTGAATTCTATCAAGAATTGAATATAATTACAGAAAAAAATCAACAAAAAGCCAACAGACTTACGGCAGAATAACTGAAGACCAGCTGAATTCCTCTCTGTATGAAGAACCAGAACCCAAAGAATCGGCTTCTTCTCCTCCGGATTGAACCTAGGCAAAGATCAAATTTTTATAACTAAAGTATCACAACAAATCTCCCCATTGAAACAGTTACTCGCAATTAGGAAAAAGAAAGCATTTTGGGTTATAAATCTGGGGCATCATGATTAACCTCAAGCTTTGACCTTCTGCTGGACGAGAAGGCGACTCTTCCAGAAAAGGGTGTTTGACTCAGAAAGATGGTTCTTGGAGGTGGGTTTGTTGATCTCTTGGCAGAACCACCGCAGAAGAAGCTGGTGACAGACGATTGAGATTTCTTGGGTGGACGGATTCGTGATGGGTTTGAGGTTGGAGGAGGGATCTTCAACCCCAGTTGCAGTGAAGCTCTTAAAGACATGACTGCATCAGTGTGAGTGTGAGGATGGGATGAGAGAGGGAATCAGAAAACTGAAGAACAGTGCGAGTCTTTCCCTCGTAAAATTTGGAAAATGCTACCATACACCAAATGCTAACTAAAAATGCTACTCTTTCTTAGGGGCTGTTTGACAACTTCTGAATGGGTAAGTGCTGAATCAGAAAGAGGTCTGAACCATTAAGTGCTGAACCAGTAAGAGGTCTGAACCATTAAGAGCTAGTATATTGCTTAACTATTCAGAGGCAAATGTCTGATCAATTCAGATAAGAGATATTAACCATTCAGACTCTGTATAATACTTAACCATTCAGAGGCAAATCTCTTAACCATTCAGACTTCTGAACCATTAAGAGGCTGAAACAAACAGTCTGAACCATTAAGTGCTGAATCATTCAGACATCTGAATCATTAAGAGGCTGAAACAAACAGCCCCTTAGTGGTATTGAGATTTGAGATTGATTGGGAAATGGATTAATCTAAAAACAAACGTTACTCCGTATATGTTGAGTAATTACAAATAAGTGTTATTTTTGCACACTAAAAAAACAAATTTTCACTAATTAAAATTAATTATTCATTAATTTATAGTGTACACTGTACATACAATGTTTTTGCATATACGGTAGTAATATGAGATTTTCGCTAAAATAACATTAAACTAAATCACAAGAGCATATCCTATGCAATGTTGACTTTGATTTCTCCATTGCACAAGCTAGTGACTTATGCATGTCATTGCTTCATTTCATTGTGAATGATGAAAATTTTCTTCCTTTTGTGATATTCCATATGTAATTTTGGGCCAAATATCACTACTGCCCCCCTCCCCTGTGATTTGAAAAATGTGTATCAATACGCTTTCTGTTTTCAAAATTTATTTCTAAAGGATTTGTGGTTTCAAAATGTTGCACCGATTCCCCCTCTGCTCATTTCCGGCCACTTTTCTAGTGAAGAAGGGAGCTTTGGTGCCTATATTTTCCAAACCATAGGAACACATGTGCTCATTTCTTATTTTTTGTTTATTTTTTATTTTCTCCTTTTTCCCTTTAATTGTTTATTTTATTAATCAATGTTTTTAAAATTTGTTTTCATAATGTTCTTAAAATTTAAAATTATTTTTGTTTGAAGAAAAATAATTAACATATACTTCCTTTGTACGTCTCAAATTATCAATTTTTTGTTTTTTGAAATAAAAAAAATAATTTTTTTGAGAACTTCAAAAAATGAGGAATAAAATAAGAAATAAAATAAAACAATTAATAAAAATGAATATCTTGTTTGGACATCCCAATTCTATAGACTTTTTTAAACGTTTTGAAATCTTTTTGTATAACTCTTTTTAGCATGTTCAAATTTTATTCATTTCGTTTTTCCATATTTTTATTTTTAACTTTTTATTCTGGATTTTCTTTTTGAACTTACCAAAAAAAATTATTCTAGAAAACAAAAAGTGAAAATGTTTAATTTGAGATAGATGGAGTCTATGTTAATTTTTTTAATTTTCATTTCAAAAACAGAATTTTAAATTTTTAAAAATATTATAAACAATTGAAAAGAAATTTAAAGAACTTTTCCTAGAAAAAAAAGAAAAGAAAGAGTTAAAAAAGGAAAAAAAACTAAACAATAAAAGAAATATAAGAATGAGCACTGAAACTATTTGGCCTGTAATTTTGATTTAAGAGTACTTCAAACTAGTTGGAATATATTGGATGGAACTTGAACTTAACGAGGGAGTAATAATCATGCTTTTAAGGCCATTTATTAAGTTATAAAGAATTTGATACCACCGACTTGTGTAAGATGGATGACCGATGCGAATATGGGTGACCAGCCAGGTGGTTTGGCGGGCAACTAATGCAGGTATCAAAATAGGGGGCAATGTTAGGGATACACCAACATAAATTATTCCATTTGTACACCAGCCTAACACAGACACACAAATACAAAATGTCTAGATATTTTGTGTATGTGTGTGTTTGTGTTAACTTGGTGTATAAATGGGGTACCCCATATTGGTGTACCCATGAGTTAATTCATCAAAATATTTTCATTTAGAAGGATTGTGATATCAAGGGATATCAATACTTTTTTTTTGAACCCAAGGGATATCAATACTTAATCCTATGTAAACATCACTAAACACTTGCAAAATGATTTTAATAATAAGAAATCTCACAATCTTGCATAGGCTTACCAAACAAGCCCTTAGTTAATGAATTTTATAGCTTTTGCTTTTCATTATTTATCATGTACTACCTCTGTCTCTTACAGAATAATATTTGTCTAATTTTGAATTTTTACCATGAAAATCGATAGAATTTATGTTAGGTAGTGATACAATAACAATTTTTATTAGATTTATATTATCAAATACTATCAAAATTTTGTTCTATATAATTAACATATCATGTAATTTTTATTCAATGATGTGTCAAGAGTCAATTCTGGTTGACTCCAAAAGGTAAAAACTAGAGAAGTAATGAAAATGAGTTTTAACACCCCCTACAAAACATGTAAATTGGAAAGATAAGTGAGAAACACAGAAAGTGGTGAAAGAGGCTCACATGACAGTGGTTCAGTGAAGAGAAGAGAGGAAGGGAGCATTTGGAGAACTTTTTTGGTCACTAGAGTTTGTCCCAAACTTGGTAAAAGAAAAAAAACATCAACCTTAGCCCTTGAGGGTTTGGTTACAGACATGCATGTTTCCATTGGGGAAGCATTCAATTCAGAACTCTCAAATTCAAGAAGCCCCATCATAGGGATCAGCCACATTGGCATCTCCGGGCCCACCTTTTCGTCCCACGGCCATCACTGGTGTTAGTGGCAACATGCCGGCTCTGAATAGAAGACGCTGAACTGGGTCCGTTGCCTGTGCCCCAACTGATAGCCAATACCTGGAAGTAGTAAAAATTGTAATTGCTAGATAAGAGTTTTTGATAATAAAGTTCAGATAGCCAATGCTTGATTGATCTAGGTAGGTGTAGACCACCGAAATCAAATTCTTGAATAAATATGACTTAGTAACTCATACGACAAGTCATAACAAGTAATGTAATTTCAAGATAGAATTTTAAGAATCATTTAAACAATAACATGTTTAAAGTGAACTGTTTTATGAGTAGATAAGAAAATCGGTTGCCACTTCACAAAGCTTCAGTCGACTAAATTTCTGGCATTTTAGTTACGTTATATGGAGTATTGCTTTCTCCCTGTTCGGCAACACTTTCAGCGTTTAGCTTTAGTGTTTTGAAAAGACTATCTAACAATATCGTTTAACTCTAGTGTTTTTCAAAGTTTATCTACATCATTAAAAAGTTATCTAAAACGCTAACTGAAAATGATATTCCCAAGGACAAAGCCTTCACCTCACTATGTTTTTCCGTGTTCCCAATTCCGTCCGTCCCAAAATATTTCCCAATTTCCTTTCAAAGAAAGAAATTTATGGTTCATACTCACTCTTAATTCTAAATAAGTATCAACTACACATTTTAATTTCTTACACTATGTTTGGTTTAAGGAATTTGAAAGGGAAAAGAAAGGAAAATGAAGTGGAGAATAGGTTTTCTTATTTGGTTAGAGAGGAAAAGTTGAAGGAAAAGCAAATGAAAAGGCAAAATATACTAAGAGGAGGGAAAACTGAATTCTTTTCATTTTGGTGAGGAAATTGAGAGAAAAATCATTTTCTTTTATTTTCCTTCCAAATTCCTTGAACCAAACATAGTGTTAGCAAATGGAAATTGGAAAACCCCAAATGGGTGGAGGTTTTCTAGTTTTTTAGTAGCTATGCTATTGGAAGTTAGAAAACCCCCAACAGGTGGGCCGTGGGAGGAAGTACTTTGTAAAAAACTCAAAGTATCATAAACCTTTTAATGAAAAGTGAGTCTTATTAAACAAAACTACACAAAAAACAGTATAATCCCGACTTCAATGGGGCTTGAGACATGATATAAATAGTCTTACCCCTCTAAAAAGAGTTGTTTCTCATAGAAACTCTTGATGCATTGATGTATTTACTACCTAAAACTTCATAGAAAGTAAAAAGCTTAGAAAGTTCAATGTGTGATGTGTCATTTTAATTTAGTCCATTTACCCGGAGCTAAAACATTGTCTATAACCACTCTTGTAGACCTATTGGAAATGGACAAGAAATAAAAACAAAACAAAAACCACCACCACAACCACCAATATTTTTTCATGTTAAATGGTTCCTTTCTTACATAGAAAAGCATAAGCATCGAGGTGAGCTTCAAAGTGTAGGTTGCAAATCTCAATAGCATTTTAAAATTACTACAAACAAAACTCGTTGATGATTATCTTAATGCCTTCAAAACCAATGATCTTCTACAATGTTACATCTATTTTCATCGAGATAAAAGTGCCAATTAGCTTCTCACAAGTAAATAGAAGTACAGAACTCCACTTACCTCACACGTTCACACTTAATACTCATTTGTTTCTCACCATCTTTGCCTGAACAAACGTGTAGAAATATCAGTAACTTTAATTTCATCACAAATCACAATACAAGTCACGCAAGAACAACAAAAAAAACAGATTAACAATACAAAGTACAACCAAATAACGAACATGGATATGACTCACTTGTAACACCATTTCAACTTATAACCAACAAATAAGAATGCCCGAAACAAGGTCTTTCCCAACAATACCAAAAATACATGAATTTTATCTACATTCCAGTACTTTCTCCTTTCAAAAAAACTACTTGAAATTATAAATTCTAAAAGCAGACATAACTCTCCTGAACTTCAAAAACAAACTTTGAACTTGGAAAATTTTCTCAAATCCATGGCCGTCGTCTTCAAGCAAGTTAAGTAAACATGTTTCAAATCAGGAATCAAACTTCATATAGAGGATCAATCACATATACGAGATAAACGAAAAAGGAAGTTGAAATTGAGAGTGGAAGAATTGCTTAGGGTTCACCAGCGATAGGGTTGTAGAAGCCAACAACTTCCAGGTGTTTGCCGTCCCTCGGAGATCTGCTATCAGTGACCGTTACTCTGTAGAAGGGCTTGTGCTTGCACCCGAACCTCGCCAACCTCAGCTTCACCGCCATTTTTTGTTTGTTTGTAGAGTTCTCGATTCTATGATTGGGGTGCGGACATTAGAATAGAATGGGTGGCCGTTTGAGTTTCGCAATTCTTATCTAGTTATCTTCTTCGGTTTGGAGAAGCAAAAATAATGACTACT